AGCAGAGCACAGATAGCCCATTATGTTGCTTTGTGCTTAACTTCAAGCAAACAAACCTATTTAATGGTGAGAATGGTAAGACTATGGGATACAAATATACATTTTGGCAATGTATGTGTCATCTTTAGCTGAAATAGCATTGTTTTTACAATAGGACGGTAGGCCTTTGGATAATGGTAGATATTGTGAATTTAAGGGGGCTCAAAGTAAAGGCTTGATAAACATTTGAATGATAAGGGCTAGCTTTGAGTGTTTTATTTTTGAGTTTAGTATAATGTATAGGATGGTCTAAATGGATCAAAGGTCCTCTGCTGTCCTTAGCTCGTATATATATCGTGTGGTTGATATATTACTATAACTTCTTTACTTTCACTCAGAAGTTCTTACTAATAAATACTGTTATGATTGTGGTTGTTTGGCTCGCTCTGGGATCTACAAGACTGGCTTTCTGATTCGCCAGTTATTCTGAATAATAATCGGGTTAATTCAAGAAAATGCTAATAAATACCGCGTTAAAATAATTAAATGAATAATACAGTGATAAGAAAATCCTTGCCCTAATTCTGATGTGTTGTGACATTAGTAAATTAGATTATACAGAACAAATGATGAAGTGTGTTACTCGGTAATTTTTTTGACGACCAGAAGATTCGGTTCAGAATTAAAAGCTAAAATTAAAGAAATAAAATATCAAATAAAAACATTAAACATCCTTAAAAGACTTGGCAGAAAAATTGTAAGCCCAACAATTTAAAACTTCGATATCTTTCAAAGGAGACAAGCAATGGAATTATTAGTTTTTGATCCCCTTAACATACAAATAAAATGAGGTATGAAAACTTCCAGTTTTTATAAAATCCAACCGACATTTAATTCCTACGAGCACTTTTATCTGCATACATTCTTAATGACTATCTATGAAATAAATGCCGTCCTCTAAATGATAGTTACTTTCTATAAAATGTAAGTTATAGGTAATAAATGTTTGCATGATATTGGTGATGTAAGAGGTTTAACCCTAGAATTAGTGTTGGGCTTAATGGACTTCATCGGCTTTTCAACACACTTTTTTAAGCTATTCATACGCTAAACTGTTCGAGTCCATGACAGAATCTGTAATAATGTACGAATCATACACAAACATACGTTTGTGTGTGTAGACCTCACCAGAATTGAACATTATGAAAACGAGTCATTAGTTTGAGAGCCAACATCAAAGATTTCACTATATAGGATTTTTAATTTGTACGATAACGTAAAAAAAGACAATCCATTGATTCATAACATCTTGTCTAAACGTTTTCCAAGACGTTTTCCTCACCAAAACTGAACATTATGAAAACGGGTCATTAGTTTGAGAGCTAACATCAAAGATTTCACTATATATGATTTTTAATTTGTACGATAACGTAAAAAAAGACAATACATTGATTCATCACATCTTGTCTAAACGTTTTCCAAGAGTGGTTTTAAAACCAAGAAAGTGAATAACTGAAACGCCTTTGTTTTCTCTTCTTTCTTTTTTTTTACTGACATATAAAATTTTCCGCTCTGCTATTTTTAATATCTTAACAAGTGGCTTCTGAATTTTTGCCTCCCAACTAAGCTTTAACTTTTTACCCTTCCACGTTAGTTAAATTTAGTTTTAGTTAACTTCATTCTTGTTTAACCTTAAAACCTTAATTTAAGCTATG